CCACCAGATCATGTCGGCGCGCTACATCGTGCCGAACCGCATCACTCACGCTGAAGTAACACACGTTAAGGTCGTCTAGCGACCGCATTTCGAGAAATGATTGAGCCAAAACGGCAATCCAAAAGGAGTGGAAGGGGGTCGGAATTCGGATTTCGCATGGGGGGGCGTGGATAGCACGCGAGGCGGCATCGGGATGAGAGCCCCCCCCCCCCCCCCCTGCCTGCGAGGCCACCGACGCAGACCGACTGGACGGTGCCGCTTTCTCATCCTCCTTGTTCCTCGATCCTCTTACGACAGCGGTGCCTCTTATCGAGACTTTCCTCTGCTCACTCCTACTTCCTCTTTCTCCTCCTTCACCTCCTCATCCCCTCTCCTCCTCTTCCTCTCGTCTTCCTTCATCGTTCTCATCCCGCTTCGCCTTCATCCTCTGAGAAACAAGGGCGCGCTTCTCTGCGCGATCGCTGCTGTCGAGGGCTGTTGCTGGCGCTGCGATGCGATGGTTTGCTTTGCGCTCTCACTGGTTGGCTTCTTCCTGCATCGCGATGGCTTCTTCCATCAGCGCGAGCATCACTCCTGGATAATCCCTGATGTTGTTGCCAGGGTTCTCCACCATCCACTCCCTGACAAGATCCCCGAACGTGAAAGCACCGCCAAGGCGACGGCGCCGTTGTGGAGGCTCGGCCCTGCGCTGGTCATCTTGGCCCCCTGGCTGCTGCTGATGTTCATCTTGCTGTTGCTGCTCGCTGTGTTGGGCATTGTGGTCCTCCTGCTGCTGCTGGTGTTCATATTGCTGTTGCTGCTCGCCATTGTTGGTCCTACTGCTGCTGCTGGTGTTCATCTTGGCGTTGCTGGTTCGCCTCCTGCTGCTGCAGGCCGACGTCGATGAACCCAAGATTGCGCCTAAGCTGCTCCTGAATGCTTGCGCGCGCATCCTGCTGAATCCTATCTAAGAGCTCTCTGTTGTTCGCCATACTTGCGAAATCACGCTCGAGCCCCAATGGCACTCTTGTTGGATGTTAAATGTATGTATGCATGCTAAATGATAAGATTTTAACCTTGAACATACTATCGTAACTAATGTCGGGGGTTTTAACGCCAACGCTAATTTCTTATCAGGACGGAAGCAGTGGGGACACCCGGGACACCCCGGACACCCCGGACACCCCGGACACACCGGACACACCGGATTTCCCGGACATTCCGGACTTTCCGGACACCCCGGACACCCCGGACACGTCCCCCGGACACCCCGGACACCCCGGACACCACCCACAGAGGATTATAGTCGGTCATCCAGGCCCACAACGAGGAGATGTAAAGACGCATGTGCATTGGGGGAACACTGCCTCCTGTTCCTCGTCCTCCTTGTCATCCTCCCTTCCTTCCCCCTCGTCCTCCTGGGACGCCTATGAAACGTCGGGTGGGGGGTCGTTCGACAGCATCTCGCACCGCCAGTGCGACCACGGTGCTCGCGCATACTGGGACATGCGCCCCCTGCCCCCGCCCACGCCCAGCTAAATGCCGAGAGGCGCCGCTGGCCGCTGGCATGGTGCATGATTTGGGCAAGGCGAGTGACGCGCGAATCGTATTTCGCTTCCGCAGCATTGTCTTGCGGGCTCGTGGGGGTCATCCCCCGGGGGCGGTCTGAGGAGGAAGAGGAGGAGGAGGAGGAGGAGGAGGAGGAGGAGGAGGAGGAGGAAGAGGAGGAGGAGGAGGACCAGTGTAAACCCAAGAGCCATCAACGATGTTGGAATACACCCTGCCTCCAAGCTCCCTCTTCATAGGCCCCTGCAAAGGTTCATTCCCATTGAGGGATCTGCCTCGTTGGAAGACAACCGTTCGAAGACCCGGAACTACGGCAAAACATTGTTCGCGGGCTTCCAACGCCAGGGATCAACCTGACTGTTGCGTCTTGACGATTTCTGGATCGTGCAAGAACGCCGTTCTTGGGATTTCAACACGTTCAAAAGACGTAACTGTTGCACCTGCAAAATCCTGAATCCGTCCAAAACACCATCTCTGGTACGTTGATTGTGCGAACCCGTGAAATTCTGCACATGTTATGAACGAATGTGCGCGGCGCTAGTGTGACAGCCACATTTTGAAAAGAAGCCGTTTTCCATCCGTGAAAATCTTGCAAATATTTAGAACGAGTGTGCGCGGCGCTGAGGCGAGAGCCACATTCTGAAAACGGGTGATTCTCAATCCGTGAAGCTGTTGCACACTTTTAGAACGAATGCGCGCAGCGGGCGAGAACCACATTCTAAAAACGGGCTATCCTCAATCCATGAAGCTCTTGCATTTGTTAGAATGAATGTGCGCGGCGCTAAAGCGAGAACCACATTTTGAAAACGATCCGCCCTCCATCGGTGAAACAGTTGCCCATTTTTTAGCTTCAGAGTCCTAAGTGGTGGGGAAGTCTCAAGCGAAGCGCCCGGCCCGTCCTAAAAATTGGCTTCGGGTGCGACAGGGAAAACTTATGTATAAGGAGAAGGAATGGAGGTGGAGGAGGAAGAGGAGGAGGTGGAGCAGGAGGACCAAAGCAGAGCCATGGGGCATCTCCCGCCACAAATCTTTGTTCCCAACCATCCTGTAGTGTTGGGTCCTCGTTTTGAAGAGACGGTGCCCCGCGTTCCTCTCCTCTCCTCCTCCTCCCCCTCCTCCCCTCCCTCCTTCCTCCATGCGCTTTACCCACCCATCACAGCGCTTCGTGCCCCCATATGGAGCTCCACGGAAAGTCTCAGTGGCACCGCCCGCATGCGTCCGCCACCACCCAGCACAGCCCTTGCTCCCGGCGTGTCACCCACCCAGTACAGCGCTTCGTGGTCCCATAGGGAGCTCCACGGAAAGTCTCAGTGGCACCGCCCGCATGCGTCCGCCACCACCCACCACAGCCCTTGCTCCATGCGTTTCACCCACCCAGTATAAGGTTTCGTGGCCCCATGGGGGGCTCCACCGAAGGTCCCAGTGGCACCGCCCACATGCGTCCGCCACCACCCAGCACAGCCCGTGTTACTTGCGTTTCACCCACCCAGTACAGCGTTTCGTGGCCCCATAAAAAGGGGGTCAACCGAAGGTGGCACCGCCCGCATGCGTCCGCCACAACCCAACACAGCCCTTGTTCCCTGCGTTTCACCCACCCAGTACACCGCTTCGTGGCCCCATAAGGGGGCTCCACCGAAGGTCCCAGTGGCACCATCCGCATGCGTCCGCCACCACCCAACACAATTGCGGCATTCACAACAGCATCTGATTGGGCCCTTGGCCAGGCTAATTTTTTCACGCGTTCACGCAAGTATTTTTTCACGCGTTCATGCGGGCGAAGACCACGCTTTGAAAAATAACCGCCTTTTTTTGCAGGTGTATTGTCGGCTTGTACGTATTCAACGATGTCCCCCCCCCCAGGATGATAAATAGACCTCGCGGGGCGCAACACATTTTTTCAATCACGCGTGCCAGGAGGTCGTCGCGGGCGCCGCCGAGGGAATCGTGTACCCCTGCGCACGGCAGCCTCAAACGATTGTTTTCCGCATGGGGTGTGCTGCAGGTGTCGTATCCGAGGCGACGGCTTCCCCCCTCCCAGGTTGATTATCGACGTGCCACCATCTTCGTCGTTGTCCTGGTCCTCGTCCTTGTCGTCTAGTCGTTGTAGTCGTCGTCGTAGTTGTAGTAGCTTTAGTTGTGGTAGTACTACGTCGTAGTAGTTGTTGTTTGTGTTATTGGCGCAAGTCCCGCTATAGTCGTAGGCGTCGTAGTAGTGGGCGTAGTCGCAGTAGTGGAGTTGTGGTAGTAGCCGGAGTGGTGGTAGTAGTAGCAGTAGTAGTAGTAGTAACAGCAGCAGCAGCAGTAGTAGTAGTAGTAGTAGTAGTAGCAGTAGTAGTAGTAGTAGTAGTAGTAGTAGT